CCCTTCGAAGGGGGTCTCTCCTGGTCGTTGTATACTGTTCGTTTAATTGAAGAAGAGTTCTCCTCTTCCTGTTGTCGCAGCACCGAGGGATCCACGGAGCCTATCAGTGCAAGAAGCTGGACAAATTGGCACGCCGCCGCTACGTCCTGTGAACCGACCCGACTTGACTGACTGACCTGAAATGAATTTTTTTCAAGGTCATCTGAGGGGACCGTTACTCTCCTGGGTTATTTTGGTATGGGTGATGCCTTTGAATTAGGCGATCTGTTTTGGGCAAAAGTTGGGTCCCACCCGTGGTGGCCGTGCATGGTTTACTATACGCCTAATGGTGAGTCATATGTGCGTAGTAAAGGTTAGTATTTTTTGATGTGATCAATTAAGATAAATTAACTCAGGGAAACTATTTAGTTACCATGTGCAGTTTCTTGGACCTCTGGTTGAAAGAGCTTGGGTGTATACATCAAATCTTATTCCATTTGAGGGCAAGAAGAAATTCGATGAATACGTTCAGGACAAGCTCAAAAACTCTAAGGATAAAAACGTAAGCGTCCGATACTAATAACGCTTCCCTTCTTCAAGGAGAGAGCGAAATTCGATAGTAAATCAACTTCAAGCAACCGCGAAATATGGACTCAGTCGTGGAAAGAGGCGGAAAGCGCATTGAGTATGACCCCGGAGAAGCGTATCGCAACGTTTGGGCGTATCTCCGTCAAGTCTAAAGTTAAACCGCTCAGTAAAAATGAAGAGGGTGAGTTACCTTTCTGAAGTCCTCCTTACTGTTCAAGGTGAAATTTTACAGTTATTGTCCAATGTACCACTGACAATGGAAGAGGAAGCAGAGTCTCTAGCTGCCTATCTACGGGAGGAATTGGAACTTAGGTCCGAGAGAAACCCCGAAATTGATCGGAAGCTCCTTGAAGAGGAACTGCGTGCTCAGTGGCCTTGTTTCGACATTCCTACAAAGCGCAGCTACCTTCAGAACAAACTTAGCATTTTCCAGTCAGTTCCTGAGGTGAGACTGTCAGCTATTTAGTTCAAATTTATAAGCTGTCCTCATATTCGTAGTGATGTCCAAAACTTTATGCATTTATGAACACAATGGAAGAAACTTATCCGCACTTACACCAAGTTACTGTTCTTCCAGATTGATCTACGAACACTTCCTGAGCAGACTGCTCATGTTTTGCTCCCGTAAAACCTACCAAAAGTAGACTGTTCTTTCAGTGATCTCATATTTAAATGGTGCTCTTTTCTCGGTTGAACGTGAAGCTTCAAGTTTCCAATGTCAAACAAACGACCAAGAGGCGACCTGATCTACATCAGACGCATCATTCGGGGCGACTTTGGTCCGGAATTGCAGTTGGAATTCCCCCTGAGGAACAACAACAACCGCGTCAGGGGATATGCACTGACGCTCCGCAAGATGCAGTTAAACGGTTTTCCGCTGGCCTATGGTCTGCCGAGGAGGGTGAAAAATCTCTGGAATGCTCTTCCGGAGGATGTGGTGGAAGAGCCAAATGACAGCATATCAAAACTGAGACTAGACAGAGCCATGCAAGAATACTGGGCTGGTGTCAACACATGACCAGCCCAGTGAAGCACAATGAGTTGGGACTATTGCTCTCACTCCCCTTCGCACTTAAAGACTTGCACTGTTCTCATATTTAAATGGTGCGATTGGCTCGGTCAAATGTGAAGCTTCAATTGGGTTTTCTTCTTAAGAAAACATCACAGAAGTATTCAGGTCAATGTGCTTACACATCAGATCGAGCAAGAGTGATTCAAGCCATCCGATGATGCTCTTCAAAGATGCCATCGCCTTCTCTTTTCAAGTTGGTCGTGGACTAAATGCTTTAACTCCAATGGGCTGTTACCATCAGCTTTTAACAATAACAGCGTTGGTCCACGAATTGACGAAACTCATGGGTTCTGTATGGGAGAGCGAACAGGTTCCAGCCGAATGGTGTCAATCGCTCACCTTACCCATTCACAAGAAAGGTGATAGATCCTCTTATGAAAACTCAATTTAATTTATCAACACTGCCTCGAAAATTCTCGCTGGTATTATACTCCATCGATTGTTTGCCCGCACGTGAAAAGTGCACGAGTGAGAATCAGGTCGGTCGAGGTCAAACCGACCACGTCTTCACCCTGCCAAATTCCGCAGCAACGACATTATTTTCTTAGACCCACCATCTCTATTTTCCTCGGTCCGGAAGCGGCTATCAACTCAATTGACCGTTCTAAACTCTGACACCATCTTTTCCTGAAGGCTGCGCTCGAGAATTTTATTTCAATATTATGATCCCTTTGTAGTAATAGCCGAAGTTGAGTCCGAGCTTACTTCCCGGTTTTCCCAAGCTAACCACTGATAGTGGTGTTCGTCAAGGTCGTCCCCCTCTCTCCTTTTCTATTTAACTTTGATATAAATTTGATTATGGAAACAGCCTTAGACTCGTGTGAGGATAGGGGTATCGATTTACTTCCAGATAACAGGCTGTCTGATCTAGAGTATGCAGACGACATTTTGCTGCTAGGGGAAGATCCAGGTAAACTGCAAGCTTTTCCGGATAGCTTGAATGCCAGCGTAGCCATGTTCGGTATACCTTCTTCACCTTCAAAGTGTAAAACGTTGCTGCTAGATTGGGTTGGTTCAGCACCCAGCCTCAATCTGACTGGGGAAGTAATAGAGTAAGTGGTCAAGTTTTGTTTCTTGGGCAGCTTTATCTCCCCCGGTGGATGCACCACAGTATCAGCTCGCACACAGAAGACTTGATTGGGAGTAGTTTGGCCAGTTCTTTATACGGCATAGAAACGTGGCCATTAAAAAACAGAATAAAGATAATCTGTCGATGTTTGACCACCACTTTCTACGCAGCATTGCACAGATCTGGTGGAGCAACCTGACGGGCAATGTCGAAGTAAGGTATCCGCGGTCGCCCACTGGAGGAAGTGGTTGACCTCCATGGATTACGTTGGTTGGATCCTGTGTTACGCATGTCTCCAAATAGATTGCCATGGCGGGTTGTGTTTACGAATGCAGGTAGGGGGTGGAAAAAGCCAAGGGTGGTCAAAATAAGATATGGGATGAAGGTATTAAAGCTCTAACCCGAGGACTCGGTCATGTAGGTCGCTTTAGGCTCCCCGGCTGCGGTGTTCATCAAGGGTGCCCTATTTTACCATTCTTGTTCAGTTTTGTCATAAATGAAATACTGGAGAACACACTAAGTAGCCTCCAAAATGTTGGTACTAATTAGACAACTGGAGAAAAACTGTGTCCCAGAGTACTCTGACGACATCGTTTGCCTGTTCGAATATATAGAGGATGCACAAATCGCACTTAACAGACTAGCTAGTTCGGCATGTGCTTTGCGCCTTCAAATTGTAAAGTGATGCTGCAAGACTGAGTGCAGCCAAGTCCTGTTCTGAAACTCGATGTTCAGGAATTAGCTGTTGACTGTTTCTCGTACTTGAGTAGTGAACTCGGGTGAAAACATGCTCGGACTAGACTTCAGCTATCAGTATAAAGGGATCGTAATACTGATATAAACTTCTCGGGCACACTTCAGGGAAAGGCAGCACCAGAGTCCAGAGCGGTCAACTGAGTCGAAGCCGCTTTCAGATCCGGGAAGATATAGATGGGTCTACGAAAGAATGTCGGTGCTCCAGAGTTTGGCGAAGAGTGAAGATGTGGTCGATACAAACTCGATCAGGTCCGAAACCAGCCTGACTCACGAGTGCACCGTTCACGTGCGACAGACAATCGACTGAGTATGATGTCAGCGAGAAATTTAGAGGCAGTCTTGAGTAAGCTAATTCCTCTGTGGTTTTCACAAGCGAACCTGTCGCCTTTCTTGTAAATCGGTATGATCACCGGTTCACACCATTCACTCGGAACTTGTTCCCTCTCCCACACTGAGCCCAGGAGTTTTGTTAACTCCGAAATCAAGGCTGAACCTCCATCCTTAAAAACATATGGGAAAAACCCGTCGGGGCTGGAGGCCTTATGCCTTTTGTGATAGCTTATTTCCCGGGGAACCTTCGTTTTAAATGGAGGAATGATGTCAACTGACAGTATTTGCCCATTCGAGGTGGGAGGTGATAGATCGGGTGTCGATGGGACCAGTTGAACTGAGCCTCGAAATGTTCAGCCCATCGATCGAGACGGCTTTGCTGATCGTGAATCAGTGTGCCATCGGATTCCTTAATTAACTTACGCCTATTTTCCTGGGGCCCGTATTCCTAATTAGATGAAAAAGACTGCGACCATTATCAATAGCCGCAGCCTGGTGCGTTGATTATCGGTCCGCTTTTCTGGATTGACGCTTGGTCTCATGCACCCAGTGAAACAATCGGAACGTGGACGAGAAAGCTCTTGATTGGTTGGGGGCTGCTCAGCTC